TGTCAAGGTTACTAGCAGTACTGGAAAGAGCGTTGTTGTCAAGAACGTTGGCGTTACTGCTGGAGCTCAGTACAAGGCTAGCTCTAACTTTTAAGCTGGTAGTGTAGGCGTCGGGTGTTGAGCTGGCGAGAGTTGTGTATCGGAATTATGTGGTGCGTTCATGTGCTGGAGGATTTTGGCGGCAAGTGTAGTTGGGTAGCTGGCTGCTTTGACCGGGAACTTGTTGATGAGATGCTTCAGCACTGGAGGACCATGTTACTGAATTATGATGTGAGATGGGAGTATAGTTTCTTCTTCAAGTACATATTAGACATGAGGAGTACACCCAAAGGATTGAATCGGGGTGCTAAAATAATCGGGTCTAAAGGTATCATCAAGTTTATCTAAATCTTTTTATTACTTAGGATAGAGGTCCCAAGTTTGCCTCCCCTTACGAGCTAACGGTGCGATTCTATGGGTGGCGGCGGGTAGAACATGATTTATCACAGAGGATGTTCTGATCGACCTTTAGAGAATACTTACTGACGGTAAGCGAAGATGGTATACCGTTGGCTCGAATGTGAGAGTACCAAGACACAGGTTTCGTGAACGTTGGCCGAGACCTTCAGATCATTACCGTTCTCGTCTGCACTATCAATTTATCCGTCTTGGGGTGAACATCCGACTTGGCAAATGGGCTTATTCAAATGACAATTCCACGGTCTTCGCGTAAAACCTGCTTCGGCATAATAAATGGTTAGCATCGGATCATGTTTGGCGGGATACAAGAGCTCTGGTATCAGAACAAGGATTCTAATGACTTTTAAACAAAGGCCACTGGCTAAAAAGTCAACAAGTGTAAAACAGTAAGTGTCTGAACCCTCTCGTCTCTCGTATCCTGGGCCTTCAATTACCCCGAATAATTGGGGAATTTGGGGAAGATTCGGGGAAGGGAGACAAAGTTTGGGCCCTTTCCCCACACGCAGCCGCTGACGACATAGCCGAACGGTTCCAAGATAACAGCTTCAACGACAATTTCCCGCCTTTTCGACGCCCAGAGCCCCAGAGACTTTTAATTAGGCAAAATAGAAATAAACATGATTCGACCAGTAACAACAATACCCAAGAATGCAACCAGGAGCAGTGGAGCCGCAACATGGCCTCGAAATCAGGCACACACACAAAACGCAGTGACGATCATTGCTTTGCGACACCTACAACAGAACAACATGCGCTCCAATCAGGCTCAGCCAAGACTTCTAGAGTCTTTCGAGAAATCGTATCTCGGATGTCAACTCTGCACGGTTATGGCGCTGTTGGAGTACCCCAATGTGACATACTGACAGGGGTTCCCATGTTGATTTTTCGATGATATCATTTCTTGGAACGTCTGTTCGCGGAGCCGCTCGTATTTTCGCTGAGGTACAGTATCGAATCTTGCACTCACGCGGTATTGTAAGTGACCAAAAGACTGCTCATAGTGACTGCATCGCCGTGGAGAAGGGAAAGTGAAGTTGTTGTAATGTGAGAGATCACGACGTGAAGCCTGAAATGCATCGTGATTCACTCTTGAAAGCAATAGTCAAAATTTAGGATCGTATAATGTGAAGCGAGATATTCCACTTTTCATCAAAGCAAGGCCAAGCTCACAAGGCAAGTAAAGGAAGGAAAGAAAACTGAGGACCTTGACCCTAAGTGATGAAAATATTTAGGTAAACCTAGCCTAAGTTTAGACGACTCTTTAGCGAGCTTATTTTAACACTTGATATCAAGGTCTAGTGTTTTCTTCCTCCCTGAGGCCAAGCCAAGCCCACCGACGCTATCACCCACACAGCGACGATCACCCCGTGGGCAAAACTCCACGAGTGCATGACGTTGAGCGGGCCACCATCACATCGCAAACCCTCACTCGCGCGCTTCGAAGCCTTCCCCACGCCATCCCTGACGATGCTCTCGAGGGCATTCTTATATAAAGAACAGCTTCAGCCCGACTGACGACTCTACCGTTCAAGAGACTGTAGCTCATTCACATCATCCATCATGTATAGGATCTGGAACATCTACGGTACAGTTACTTCTCCTTCGAGGGGGTTCCATGGCTAACGGCAACAGCACTCGCTGCCATTGGCACGATCGGCGGCATGCTATTCGGTTTCGACATCAGCTCCATGAGCGCCTGGATCGGCTCCCACCAGTACCTCGACTATTTCAACAGCCCAGGCTCAACCGAGCAGGGCGGCATCACAGCCTCCATGTCAGCAGGATCATTTGTAGGCGCCCTCGCCGCAGGAGGTATCGCCGATAAACTCGGTCGACGCAAGGCTCTCATGATCGCTTGTCTGTTCTGGATCGCCGGCGCTGTTCTTCAGTGTTCTGCTCAGAATGTGGCACATCTCATTGTTGGCCGTGTTGTTAGTGGTGTGGCTGTTGGTATTACGAGTTCACAGGTCCTTGTGTACCTTGCTGAGCTTGCGCCTTCGGATATCCGAGGGAGAATTGTTGGAATTCAGCAGTGGTCTATTGAGTGGGGTGAGTTCGACAACGCTCTCCTGTAAATCTTCTGCTAATGGCATCAGGTATCTTGATCATGTATCTCATCTCTTACGGATGCTCGGTTGGAGTTAATGGACCAGCTGCATTTCGCATCGCATGGGGAATCCAAGCCATTCCTGGCTTCATCCTGCTCGCCGGCCTGTTCTTCTTCCCCGAGTCACCTCGATGGCTTGCTCAGCACGATCGTTGGGAAGAGGCGCATTACAATCTTGCCCATCTCCACGCTGGCGGCGATCTCGATAGTCCTGTTGTGATCGCTGAGATGGAAGAGGTCCGCGAAGCTGTACGTATCGCCCGTGAGTCTAAGGATATCGGCTATCTTGGCCTCTTTGCGCCTGGAGTCTGGAAACGTACCGTCGTTGGCGTGAGTGTTCAGATCTGGCAGCAACTTCTGTAAGTGTGCCCCGAAACCCGTGAGAATAGCTGCTAATATGATCAGGGGCGGAAACGTTATGCTCTACTATCTCGTCTACATCTTCAACATGGCTGGAATGACTGGAAATACCGCTCTTACATCCTCCATCATTCAATACGTCATCTTCCTTGTAACAACCGGCATTGTTCTTCCTTACATCGATCGTCTTGGCCGCCGACCACTCCTCATCAGTGGAGCCTTGATCTGCGGTGTCCTTCACTTCACCAGCGGAGCAGTCATGGCTGTTCACGGCTACCCTGTCGATGGTATCGAAGGCAACGACATCTTGACTTGGGCCATTTCAGGAGCCCCCGCCAAAGCAGTCATCGCCCTGGCATACATCTTTGTCGGCGTCTACGGTCTTACCTGGGCACCCGTTGCATGGATCTACGCCAGTGAGGTCTTCCCCTTGAAGTACCGAGCCAAGGGTGTTGGCCTCGCCGCCTCTGGTAACTGGATGTAAGTCACTCCCCCAACTACCAGACCAGTTACGTGTACTGACATATGAACTCACAGCTTCAACTTGGCACTCGCCTTCTTTGTCCCACCATCGTTCACCAACATCCAGTGGCAGACATACATGATCTTCGGAACATTCTGTATTGCCATGACTTTCCACGCTTTCTTCACTTATCCCGAGACAGCACGCAAAACCCTCGAGGAAGTGGATGTTTTGTTTGAGAGTAACGTTCCTGCTTGGCGAAGTGCAAAGGCTGGTGGTGGGTTTGACGACAAGGTTCAGGAGGCGAAGCGAACTGGTGGTATGAAGGGGGAGCTTGACGGGAGGGAGGTTACTCACGCTGAGACTGCGTAACGTTCATGTTGATGATTTGTTATAGCGTAGTGTTTGAGTTGAAAGTTTGGACAAAAACGCGTATCCATGATAGGGTGTTGTAATGTGTGCTACTAAACTTGCCATGCAGGTGTCCGCTTGAACTCTGTTAGATGACTGGTCTTGCTTATCCACTGCTTGGCCAGTCCCGCCCAAGTGTTATACAACCGGGTTTCTGGACACCGATAGTGATCCCGAGTAGCCACCAGGCGCATGGTCTTCGCATTATCCCATGCACCGAACACCGCACCTATTTGTCACTCTGTCGGGATTATCTTGGTGATATCCAATGATGGCCTGCCCTAACCAAGCGAGCTACTCGCCTTTGTTCAACCTTGTGTAACGGTCCATGCTCGCAAAAGTGTCTCCATTTCAGTGATGCTCAATGACTGAAGCGATATCTTCGTTAAATGTGTTCCACAAACCTCCGGGATAGGCATTCTCACGTCCCGTAAAACACTTACATCAGGCCGTAGTATGACACATATCCTAAATAAAGATGGTCCGCATCGGAGATATACACGGAACCTGGGGTTAGACTTAATTTCTTGGCCCTGTTTACCCCGCAATTTGTGAGAACAGTGTGCATCCGGCGGGTATAGTAGTGTCACATCTATATGTAATATTGCACCAAATTTAGAGTTTTGTTTCGGTTCGTTTAGCCGTGAAGTGATTGACCTTGATTTAAGCAATGTTCAACACTCTACAGTGAGTCACTGGCCATGAAGCTTGATTTCCTATCAGGTGCATTTCTCGGTGTGACAACCAAAGCTTGATTTGTAACTAAGGTACCTAGTAGGTAGGTATCTTACCTGCCTACCTTCCTTACCTGGGTACCTACCTATTCACGTTACTATATTCGTGGTTGCTCCTACCTTGACTGCTTCATCCACGCCCTGAGAAATCCTTCACTGTTACCTCTCCCTTACTGTTGACGGTTTCTTTGAAGCTCTGTTACTTTGAACTCTCACGAAGACATCTTTTTGCGTTTCTCGCAGCACACCTTCAAACTTTGCGTGCTCCCGACCTGCAACTCTTACTGCCTTTGAGTTCCTGAGCCCTATTTTGTCAAACTCTCTCATGCCACAATCTGAGAACACTCGAGGTATAAAAAACATGGCCCTCCCCTTCCACTTGAATCGTGCTAAACTTCTCTTCCTGTACATCAGAGTCCTCACCCTTTCTATACTCTTTCACGTCTTACAGGAGTCAATAGCCAGAATGCCGCGACCCAAAACCGACCAGGAGATCCAGCAGGGCTGGGGTGACTTGCAATGGAGATTCATGAACTGGTACGAAGCCAGTAGGAATGACATCCTTCGATGCTCTGAGCCGGGCGCTGATTGGAACGCACTCAGCCAGTTGGTCGCCAAGGCTTTCCCCGATAAAGAGCATCAAAAGGCTTTCCGTGTCTGGTCCGACGAGTGGTGGGGCCGTGACTTTGTGAGGATGACATCTAGGATAAAACCTGAGGAATTTATTGATCAAGTTATGGCGACTAATTTCCTGGATGCCCAATCGACCAGCGACCTTCTGAAGACCATCGCCTTATACAATACGCCTTGGGTCCCTATTGGTCGGTCTCAGTACGGGGATGTTGAAACCTTTTACGCGTTCAGGCCCCAGGTTGACTATCTTGAACCCGATCACGTGGAGCCTAGTTCAGAGGTCCTTGGCAACTACAGTCTCACCATGAAGCTTAAGTCTAAGACTCGTGCTGCGTCCGGTCTCACGCCTGCTTCAACCTCGAGCAGCGTGTTCAATCCCAGCACCAGGTCAATTTCTGCTGGCGAATACGCCTTTTCACGCCCACGCTCTTCTACCGCTTCTACTATGTCCCTCGGCAAAGAGAATCTCGAAAAGGCTCCTGATAAAGATGAGTATCTTGTATTCGCTCAGATCGGAACTCTCCACGTTTATGGTGGAGTATGCAAAGACGCAGGTCCGAAGAACATTCACATCATCAACCAAGGCCCCTGGTGGTCAAACGGATTTGCCGTTGTTGTTGAGCTCGATAAGAAAGGCGGACTTGGAGCAGTCTACGTCGTTTATAACGATTCTCTTTTGGAGGGCAAGGAAGAGGAAGAGGGAGAGGAAGAGGAGTATGCGGAGTATGCCGGTCCAAGTGAAGAGGAGATCACGGACACGGAAGGAATAGCCGCAAACCATGAGCCTGGAAAGCTTCACCCTGAGTGCAACCAGAAGTTCAAGGTGGCCAAGATTGCGGATTCAATGAAGCGCCTTGGCGATCTTCAAACCAAGTTCATCTTCGAGGAAATCTCCAAGGATAAACACCCAATCCATTCCACAAAGATCGTGACGGACAAGGTGCTTGGGCAGTTCATCCTTCATGCCAAAGCTCCAACGCAATCCTAGAAGGGTGCGACCAGGAGCAGCAAGAAGTTTGGAAGTCTCAAGCGCCGGCAGCTTCTTGGCCAAAACATGTGAGAAAGGTTAATGGCAATGTATGTTCAAAGCATCTCAGATTGGTGGATGGACGGACACAAGCATTTCACTCTTTTGTCTTGCTTAGTACTTGAGCAGGGATCAGCCTATGAAAACAAAAGTTAAACACTAAAGCATCAACTTTATCTTTGTTTCTTAATAAATATATATTCTTCGCAGTAACCAAAGCTCAGTTCTCATCCATAAAGTGCTTGCAACTTGGAGTCCTTATAATACCTATGTATACTGTGGTTATCGCTGTTGAGACTGGTCTCTGGTTGTTTTTGACATTGCCCCTGGAAGTCACAGTAAACAGGATGCTATTACCGTTATTACAGTGGGAAATGTCCAGTTGAAGTCTGAGGCCTACTTCGTTAGTCTTGTTTCTTCTCTCTAGACCTATTCGCTAGGTTTCAAAAAGCCCTAGGTAGTAGGTTACAATTCGTGCTATTGTCAAGCAAGGGATCTGACTGTTAATCCTCCGCAAATCATGAAAGAACGCGGGAAATAAGGCCAGAAAAAGCACATAATCTTAATATATAAAGAAAATATTCTATTATTCTTTAGAGCTAGCTTTATAGCTTAAAAATATATTAAAATTTATACTAACTTATTTTTATATAATATTATTTAAATAAAGTAATAGCTAGTTATAAATAATATATAATAAAAGCTAAAAGTAATTTATATATATAATTTAAGTTAATTTAGATTATCCTTATAATGCTTTCCTAAGTATTATAAACTAATATAATTTATAAAACATAGCGAAAAATATTTAATCAGTGTTAAAGAAATGATTGGATGTGTGAAGCCGGTTCTGCTGGCGTCGATGTCGCCATCACGCCATGAGATCTAATGCACATCAGGCGGCATGGTAGAAAAAGCTGTATTCTGGAAGATTCGGCAACAACTCTGCCAGAATCAGTCTTCATCGCTTGTGGCCTCAACGACTCGAACTCCGCCTCCCTTCTTAGCCGACTCAATCTCCCTCTTTTGTTGCTGCTGCTGTCTCTTCCCAACCTCATTCACCAAACCCTTCAGATAGACTTCGGCCTGAACAGTAGCGCTGTACGCAGCTGGTGTCCAGTTCCAGATGTTGCGTTTATGTATATCCGCGCCCGCCGCCAGCAGCGTTCGCAGCACCAACAGGTTTCCGTTCCCGCTCGCAAAATGCAATGCCGTATTTCCTTCCACGTCCGCACGGCGGACGGCGTCGTAAGGTCCTCCTGGGACAAAGGTAAGGAGGAGTTGAACAATAGTATCGTGTCCGCCAAGGCTAGCTTCCATCACGGCGTCACGGCCTCGAATGTCGCGGCGAAGAATACATGTTTTGTCGTGTTCGCAGAGGAGTTGCACAACCTCGGTATGGCCACCGGCTGAGGCGAGCATCAGTGCAGTTTGATGTGTCTCGTTGAGTGCAGGGACTGGATCGTCGTGGCCGAGCTGCAGGAGTACTTCGCAGACTTCGCGGTGTCCGAGAGAGGCTGCTAAGTGCATGTTCGAATTGGAGAGGCCGGATGGTGAAGAATCGGGATTGAGGAGAAGATTAGGATGTGTCTTGAGAATTCGGCGGAGGAGAGTTGCATCATTGGCATGAATTGCCCGACGAATGCGAATAGAAGGTTCAATCCTGTTGATTGTTAGTCCTGGGCATGATGATCTCGAGTGGGCGCACTCACATGACGGAGGGTGACTAGTCATGACGGTTGCGATTGGAGGCCAAGAATCATGCCGCGCAATCGCGAGAAAACGAAAGCCCAATAGAACAAAAGAAACGAAAGGTACTTTGCAGGCTGAAAATAGATAATGTTAAGGACGCGTTAGAGAAAGGAAAAGCTAAATGAGGCCGTCGTTGAAGTAATGCAATCAATGAAAGAGGGGAAGAGAGGGAATGGAAGCAAGGCAAGCAACAGAGTTGCCGAAGGTTGACGATAAGATTCCAAGAAAGCTTAACTCGATCCCGCTTGCAGCAAGCAGCTCCTCATGAAACAGGCGGCGCGGACCCCACACTGCGCTGACATCCACTAACCTCAGTTAGCCTACCCGCTGTTTGTTACACGAGCCCAAGAGATCTCGAAAGAGGTGCAAACAAGCAGCTTGCAATAAGTAATTTTACTTGGGTTTACTTGGATTCGAGATATAAGACAGCAAATGACCTGCTTGTCACATCACGAAGGTATTGGTCATCATGGTCTGTTATTTGGTATCATGAAACCGTTGAAGCTCACTCGAGACCCACTATTTCAAGCGCTGTCATGGTCTTTGGCCTGTGACGATGGAGCTTCATTGACATCAGATTTACCCTGTATTGAGACGACTCCCGTTTCTTTATATGGCATTGCATCAAACCAATTTGCTCACCAGAGTTCTGTTGGTATTCTACAGAGATGCTCTTGAAATACTCAGTGAGGCATATTTGTAATCTTTTCTCTTTGGGCAATCTTTCCCAGTCTAATCGCCCAGACCCTTGAGTCAAAGGGATACCACTAGGTTGAGCCAAGGTTTGTCTCAGTGGATGGATTGTCTGTTCCTCTGAGACAAGCAACACAAGAATTTAGTGGCCAACTCAATGAATAGTCACGGTCCGCCCTACTAAAAATCTTACCCCTTCCACAGTCTGACAACGACTCAACAACAGCACACCAATACCTGACGATAGATATCAGCACAATCTCATCTCATCAATATAATATCACTTTCTGGCTACCAACCTCAACACACGGGCTTGATCACCCGGCGAAGCACGCCCGGTTAGCTCAATCGGTAGAGCGTGAGACTCTTAAGAGTTCACAATCTCAAGGTTGCGGGTTCGACCCCCGCATCGGGCTGTTCCTACAAATTACATATTCATGATTGAGATGTGCTTTCTTTTTTGCGATTTTTGTCAATTCTTCCTTGAGTGTCAATTGGTGATGGCAGTGTAGATGCTCCCAGTGCCTTGAGATGGCTTTTATTCAATAGCCTTGGGGGGCAAGGTAACAACGGACCTTGATCTGGGGTGCTAAATAAACTTAGTAAAAGTTATTCTAAACTCAGTAAAAGTCATCCTAAACTTAGGATAGTTATATAAAATAAATCCTTGTATTATTCAGGATTGAGGTCCTGAGTTTTCTTTCATTTACCAGTTAGAATAAGTATGTTTATTAAAGTATAAATATAATTTATATTATTAAGATCTAGTAAGATCTAAATAATTCCCTTCCTTTATTATTACTTAATGAAAAACCCGATAGAAACCGCCTAGTTCAGCTCATGAGCTTTCTTGATGGCCTTGTTCTTGCCTGTGTCCAATACAACAGCAGGGTCCTCCTCATCACCCTTCCTAGAGACCTCATTGCCATTCTTCGTCGTAATTGTCGTACTGCACTCAATGTTAATAACTCATATCATAAATGATTAAGGACACTCACTCTTCAGCCTTGACATCCAAGACTTTACCCTTGGGCTGTCCTTGTCCCCAGTTCCAGCTCACAGTCTCCCCCTTCTTGGGTCCTTTCTTTGCGCCAGAGTCATCGCCGCCCTCATCATCATCTTGTTCCTCTTCAGCATCTTCATCCTTCTTTGATGATCCATTGGACTTCTTGGATTGGCCATTGGACTGTTTCCTCTGTCCCTGCTTCTTCTTACCGTCTTCTTCTTCCTCCTCCTCCTCCTCCTCCTCCTCCTCCTCCTCCTCTTCATCGTTGGACTTTGTAGACTCCCCCTTGCGAGTCTCACGTTTCTTGTTGGAGCCGGTCTGGCTTCGGGTGGCCCGTCGCTTCTCGCCGGTTTGCTTATCATCATCATCACCTTCTCCTTCCTCGGCTTCCTCATCGTTGTCGTTCTCTTCGTCTTTGTCCTCTTTCTCTTCCTTCTTCTCACTGCCATTCTCCTTGCCTTGAGCCTTGAGGAAGTCGTGACCCCAGTTCTTTAGCGAAGCGTAGGACTTGGTCTTCTTGACCTCCTCGGGGGACTTGTCGTTGTTGGCCTTGGTCTCTTGGGCGAGATGTCGTTTGCTGCATACTATTAGCATCCAATTGACTGGCAGATTATCTGATATCAGTCGAAATCAGCGTGAGAGACTTACCAGTAGGAAACGACCTTGCGCATGTGCTGGACTTGCTCATCGGTGTACTTCCCAGGTTCCTTCTTGGGGTTCCCCTTCAGGATCTCAACAATCTTACGACCGCTGTCATGTCCGACAGTCTCGCCATTCTCATCCTCCTTTGGCCAGCCAGCGCTGTTGGAATCATCCGACTTGAGCCACTTCTCGAGCTCCGAGGCCGTCATGTTGACGACCTCGTTGAACTCTTGGATAACTTCATCGTTGCCCTTCATGATTGCTGTTTTGTTTACGGCTTGAGATTAAAAAATGTTTGATGTCGAGAGAATTGAGTAAATACGATCAATTGATGAGAAAAGTACGGTTCTGTCTAACCCATTACCCAGGTTTTGTAACCATTGTTATTGCTTTTGGTCTCAGCCGTGTCGTCATTCCAGCCATCTCTTAATCGTAGCGTCATAGAAAAAAAAGGTACACAATGCGTCGCAAGTAGCTTACGGTGATCGACTCAGCTTAATCAAAGTAAATTGACTCTGACGTTTAAGTGCGTGCATGGTCTCAGCTGAACAAGGTTGGATCGATCTGATGCGGTCGTCCAAGTACGCGATCCGATCTGTTGAATGAGCGCATCATTTCCGGCGATCGATGGTCGATTGGCTGGGAAGTGGGCCAGGAACAGGAGCGAGAGGGATCGTTTTTGGTCAAGGTTGGTAGGGCTCAATTAGACTAAGGGGAATAATGATCATGGGAGGGAGCGGAAGGGATGCGTGTTGGATAATTGGTAGTTTTTGGTGCTCTTGTTGGACTGCATAGAGCCATAGAATGAATCGAGCTGCAAGGCATCTTGATGACTCACAATATTCCGAGTCACCACATGTATAATGATCAGATTATCAATACTCAATTTCTATCATCATGGTTCAAATCAAACAATTGCCCTTAAATAATATGTATATCATGATGCTAATGCTGAAGCAGCATGGCCCTGGCCTGAGTTTTAATTGAATCGTAAGGTGAAGGAAGAAAACAACAATCCTTGACTGAGCCCCAATCGGTGCCTGTCAGCCTCATAACCAAGCGGAATCCAATCAATACAATTGGAGATCTTGTACAGGCCACAGTCTCTTGAAGATCATGGCCTACCACGCTCTTCTCGGGAAATACTTCCACATCAATTTCACGGCAGTTGCACTCAAGCTCTAGAGCTAGGACCTGAATTAATGATGCAATCGTCAAACAGCTTCAAATCCCCCTCGCTAAACCCAAAAGAGCAACCAAAGCCCCCACCGCGGGGTTGTTCGGCTGCGGGAGCGGGGCCTTTTTTCGCCGGGGTCGCAATCTCAGGCCGATCCAGGAGCAGACCATTTCAACATTTACACCTTGACTCTTTTCTGTGACTCAGATTTAAAAAAAAAACATCCGACACATCAGGTACGCGATATCCTTCCTATTTTGATCACACATTTATAACTCAATCACGTCTTACTGTGCGTTCCCTCTCTTCTATGTTTTCATGCGCGTCAATTGAATCCTCATTGAGCCTTTTCACCCGCTGCACTCTTCTCCGCCACTCGCATTCAACTTTTGCAATTCGATCGCAACATCAGAAGCAAACAGCTAATCCTTTTCGAAACCTCAGAATTGACAGCTTAAGAACCGTCGCCATCATGTCTGAATATCCCCACATTCTTCTTCGCGCTGAGGAGAAGCCTCTCGAGCACCGATCTTTCTCCCCCGCAGTTATCAAGACACTCGTCGATGCTGGGTACCCCATTTCCGTCGAGCGATCATCCACCGACCCCAAGTTCAGACGAATCTTTTCGGACGAAGAATATGAGGCTGCTGGTGCTCGTCTTGTCGACACGGGTGTCTGGCCCAACGCTGAGCCTGGGACAATCATCCTAGGCCAAAGAGATCCCCGAAGAGGACTTTGCTCTCAAGAATGACCACATCGTATGTCGAATCTCTGCCACGAGGGCGTGCTTTTTACTGACTCGACTTAGACATTTGCCCATTGTTACAAGAATCAAGGGGGCTGGGAGAAGGTTCTCGGTCGTTGGTCTCGAGGTGGTTCAGTCTTATATGACTTGGAGTTTCTTCACGATTCTGAGGGTCGCCGTGTTTCTGCGTAAGTTTTTTCTCCAACATAAAGCTTAAAATTTGGCAAATCTGCCCCTTTTGGGAAGATCTCGATGGCTGAAGACGTCGGTTTCGTGCCCACACCCCACCAACGTACTCAGAGCTTCGAGCTTCAACAGACAGGTTCTTATGACTAGGTCAGAAGCTCACCTTCCGAGAAGTGGTTTTATGATGGAGACTTCAAGCACGACTGGCTAAGCAGCATCTTCTGGAGATCTCGATCTGAACCTGGGGCTCGCAAGTGTTCTGCTGGTGTTTGATCGAGGTGGTATGAGCTATGCAAATGGGCTCTTACACCGTTCATCTTCCAAAGCCCATAGTTCACGGGGCTTCACTCCAGGTTCCTGCTATGAAGCCCAAAGCAGCATCCATGCCGCACCTCAAGCGAGGTTTGTTACGGCCTTTCAATTTGGATTCATGCAGTCGAATATAAAGTCTGACCAGTGTTGGGCTGGGTTGCACGCGGGTTTTGCAAGTGCTTCAACAACTGAACTCCGCAACGGAGTAAACTTCAGATCGTCTCTATCTCACTTGCTGACACTCTACAGTTTCGGATTCCACGCAGGATTTGCGGGAGCTGCGCTCGGAATCAAGACCCTTGCCCACCAGCTGCAGGACTCGTCCTCTAAGCTCCCTTCAGTCGAGACATTCACAGATGGCCGCGGATATTATCTGAACGAAGAGGCGCTCGTTTCCCAGATTCGCGAAGACCTCGCCAAGGCTGAGAAGGTTCTCGGACGTAAGCCCACTGCTCTCGTCCTTGGTGCTCTTGGACGATGTGGTAAGGGCGCCGTGGACCTTTTCCTCAAGGCTGGCATGCCTGATCAAAATATAACTCGCTGGGACTTGAACGAGACCAAGGACCGTGATGGTAAGTTCTATCCGTGCTTCTAGTGGTTGTAGCTAACCTTTTATAGGCCCTTATGAGGAGATCGCTAAGGCTGATGTCTTCCTCAACGCTATCTACCTTTCCAAGCCTATCCCTCCTTTCATCAACCAAGAACTCCTCGCCAAGCAAGGCCGCAACCTTGCTGTTGTCATCGATGTTTCTTGTGACACCACAAACCCTCACAATCCCATCCCCATCTACTCCATCAACACCACCTTCGAGGACCCCACCGTCCCCGTTGAGATCAAGGACGATCAGAACAACCTCCCCCTGTCCGTCATCAGCATCGACCACCTTCCTTCCATGCTTCCCCGCGAGGCTAGTGAGGCCTTTAGTGAGGGTCTGAAGGAGTCTCTGCTCACACTGAAGGATCGCAAGACTTCGCGGGTGTGGGCTGATGCTGAGAAGCTCTTCCATGAGAAGGTTGCTCTGTTGCCTGAGGAATTGAGAACTAAGAGCGTTTAAAAGTGCTATTTATGTCGTAGTTGAGTTGGCTACATAGACCGCAATAGAAGGCTAAAACAACAGCCTGATTGACATGTTTTGACATTTGCTTTGAGGGTGAACGTGAGTTGTGGTGCTGTTTGCTCGACAGACGATGTTTACGGATACAAGTCTACAGGGTAAGGCGACACAAGGGTTCTTCCAATAAGTCAACATCTGAATTGAATGTGAGTCGAGACATTAAACGAGCCAGGGATTGAACTCGACCATCTCATACAAGCCCCTTTAAAACCACTCTCACCCCTAAGTCGCGTCTCTCACCACAACCCTTGCAACCCAACAAGATGTGTATGCACTATCCGAAGTATACAATTACGAAGCTAAAAGTCGGACAACAGAAAATTGGATCCCCCCGCTCAATTCGAGAACCAAGCAAAACATGATTGGTCGATCTTTTGGTAGTGGTCCTGTAGCCAAATAATTCGAGTAAGGATACATACAACATGGGTACAAATTCGCCGGTGATTAAGTACATAGTTGATCATTTTCTGATCCATAAATTTAGCGCAGCGCTAACTTGACCGAGTTCGTTGAGTTTCTCATCAGATCAGTGGAGCTTCTGATAATCGTCATCTTCAACTTCCGTTTATTATATCGAAAGGGTCTAATAGCCACAATGGCTGCTTCGGACAAGAATGATACGGTTGTTGAGTCAATTGAGGGTGACGAGGCCTCCGAAGTGACTCATTCAGGGGCTGAAGCCGAATCAGCAGTTGCTCAACTGTCCGAAGGGCGTGAAGCTTCCAAGAAGATTGAGCAAGCCACGACAGAAGCTTCAAACCAAGTTCAACCTTTGCAGAGTTCTCAAACACCCCGGGGTTCGCAACCACAAGTTTCGCAGTCACCTCGAACGGCTGGAAGACCTCTAGCTCCAGCTCAGGTTCAACATGCTCAGATGGTTCAGCATCAGTCTCCTCGAGTTGCTCAGCCTCCGTATCCTCAGATGCCGCAATCTCCTTATTACCAGATGCCACAGTCTCCTCATCATAGGCCGCCATCTCCGCAAATGGCTCAGCATCCTCATATGGGATATGTCCATCCTTATCAGGCTCCGCATTCACCTTATATGGCTCAGTCGCCTCATCAGATGCCTCAGTCTCCGTATCAAATACCACAGAGTCCTCACCCCCATATGCCGCAGTCTCCGCATCCCCATATGCCACAAAGTCCTCATCCTCAGATCCCGCCATCCCCATACATGGCACACCCTCACTATGCTCCTCAACCGGGGGACGCCCCCCCTCAAAGTCCCCTTTTCACACCCCAAGGAACTCCCATCATGACACCTCAGCAATCTCCTCTATTTACACCACTAGCCACTCCTAGATTCACACCAACTCCAACCCCTGGACCTCAATCCGCCGCTCCAACACCAGCACCATCAGCTACTCCAGCTCCCTCGTCGGTTGCTTCGACACCCGCCCCATCCTCCGTAGCATCTACCCCAGCACCCGAATCTTCCTCCGGAGGCCAAGTGACATATGATATGGGACCTCCGCCCAAGAAGAAGAGAGGTCCGAAGCCGAAGCCTTTGTCAGAACGTAAAATGCTACGGACTACACCGATTGTGAGAAAGGAGGCTAGTTATTCGAAGAGAAAGAAAGAGGAGGTTATCATGTGGATGCTTCATACTCGCGTTGATCGGAGGGGAGAAATGGTGCCGCCTTCTACGACGGACGCGGAGAACCACTTTCAGATTCCGAGGAGTACTATTGCTGGGTGGAAGAAAGCCATGTAAGTGATACTGCGGATTGCGATGTGATGAAGCTGACAGTTTTACAGGTTGGGCCTTGGACCAATTCCGAAGTAATAACGCATGAACACGTAACGAACGCGGCCTAGAGATCAAAAGTTGAATAGACAATTAATAATTATATCTTGATTACCTCAGATTTAAGACCGCTTTTTGCTTGGAACCCTGTTCATTGTCTTGTCCGCTTACACAATCTGCCCAAAGTTGAAGCGAAGTCAACAATGTTTACGTCACCCATGTCCGATAACCCCGCCAAAACCTCCCTTAAGAACAACCCGTAAGCACCCAATACTTACAACCAATTCATCCAACTCATTCTCAATTCACACGCCAAAATGTCTTCGCTCGCAAAAACAATCGTAGCAACCGGTGTGTCATCCGGAATCGTAAGCCCCATCACGAAGCTGTGCAACAGAATAAGAACACTAACATCTACAGGGCTTCGAAGCAATCAAACAGCTCCTCAGCCAGAGCCAACCATACAGAGTCATCCTCGGCGCACGCAACACCAAAATGCACAGAAAGCTTACGATGAGCTCAAGTTCGACCGTGAATCTCATGGAGTCACTGTTCTTCCGCTGGAGCTGAATGACTTGAAGGGTGTCAAGTCGTTCGCTGAACAGACCCTTGATAAGATTGGGGGAGACAAGATTGACTACTTGTTGCTCAATGCGGGATTGGGAGGTGTCGGCGCTGAGGGCCCGGGACCGCATGGATCGAGGTGGTGTGAGCCATATGTCGTGAATCATCTCTGTGAGTTTGCCAAGTGAGGTCGGATGTGAGATACTGATGGACTGTAGCGCAGCATTACCTTGTGCATCTTCTGAGGGAGAAGTTGGTAGATTCCAAGTCGAGGATCGTATTTGTGTCATCAGGAGCTATCAGACGAGTCTCTGATCCAAGTCAGTCAACCGTTACGCCCAAGTCTCATGTTCTGACCTCTTACAGGTTTACTCGACACTGAACTCAAAGCCGGGTCTGGTGCCTCCGCCAGCACGACATACTGCAACACCAAATTCACCGGCCTTCTAGGCGCACAGTGGTGGCGTCGCCAACTCGCCGGTACCAACGACGTGGTCGCTGTTTCACCAGGTCTCATCCCTGGCACGGGTCTAGCGAACCGTATGGGCATCAAAGCTGACATGGCTGACGCAAAGCCGATCCCCGAGGGTTAGTCGTGTATCATTGTGTTGGGACGTGTAACTGATTGTGTGATAGGCGCACAAAGCGTTCTTGCGGCTATGACGCGAAGCGACTTTCCTGAGGATCGTGATCGGCTCTTCTTGACGAGCTGGGGTGAGTGGTGGGAGAAGAGTGTCATTGAAAAGTCGACGGATAAGGAGTTGCAGGGTAAGTGGTGTCCTAGCAAGGAGGAGATTGAGCGCGAAGCTGGCATCTCATCTTAGGAATCGAAGACTTGTGCAACTTTATCTAAAAGCTTAAGATCTTTATCCCAAGTGTGAAAGAACCAGTATGAGTTAAGGTGTATCTCAGGAAGCTCTTAGACCAGTTATCTCTGATGTGACCGAGAATCAATCGAAAACTTTTACCATAGCACCCGTCTTCTTATTTATATTTTATGTCTAATATTTTTCTTTTCCTTTTCTTTAGAGGGGAATATATAAATAATAACTTATTTTTCTGGGTTTATTTTATTTTTCTTTTCTATCATTTCCTTTTCTCAAAATTTCGCTTTCTCCATCAATCCTCATTCTATCTCCATCATCTACGAGGCATGCCTCTATCGTGATACCATCCCTTCTTCTTCCTCTTCTCCTCCTCCTTCTTCTTCTTCTCCTCCTCCTTCTCCTTCTTCTTCTTCTTTTCCGCCTTGTCCCTCGCTTCTTTGTCTTCTGCCATGATATGACAATACTTGGAGCAAATAACTTCCGCACATGAATGCGGTATATCCCTGCGGTCTTTGAAGAAATCTTTTCTGGCGGCGCTCTCCTTCAAACCATCATGCAGTTCGGTGTTGTTCATTGGCTCCCTGAATCTGATGAGCACTTTGCAAAGAAAACAGCCACCAATTCCTCTGGTCCCATGTTTCGTGACGAGGAATGGTCGGCTAATATGCTCGGAGCAGTCTCTGCGAGGCCCCATCTCCCACAAGCTAAGTGCTTGAAGCTTTTGAGGAGCAGGAGGCTCTCTCTCATCGAACCTATTGATGGCACGAGCAGCCAAATAGGCTCGGCCCTTCATTTGGATCACATCTTGCTCGGTTTTGATCTTCAATTTCTTATTCAAGGCGGTCTCGACCTTGTAGGATGCAAGTTCTTCCTTGCTAACCTCGATTCCCTTATCGGCCTCGTCAATCTTAGAAAGGGATTCTAAATCCTTGGACCAAGCCTCCATGTCGTTATTGCCAACGTGAAGGTTACGTCCTTCCAATCGGTGTTCGTTATACGGAGGTAAAGAGCTTATGCGTTCTCGCGTAGTCCCAATTGTGGTCGAGTCGTGGAGGATGTGGCGTTTACCATCTTTCCAACATATACCTATACAGATACTGTAGACCATTGGGACATTATCATCGAGCTCGTTTATCCCTTTTTTCTTGGTGTGCGGCGTCAATTTAAGCCTTTTGGTTGCCGATGGACTGAAGTTGAAACCGGCTTCTTCGTGCGAAGGTTCAATGTCCTTCGCTATGGCGTCTGCTCATTAGTTAGCGGATGTAAGTGTATACAACAGTTTTGCACGAGATTGTGACAAACTTACTCAGGAGTTGTTCAATTCTTTCCATGGTGTTCTTAGGGTTTTCCAATTCTTGGCGCCTCTTCTTGGTGTTCAAGACACACCACAAGCGGATGCAGCGAAGATCGACGGTCGGAACTTTGGTAGGGACAATGGGCAGCTTCTCTTTCTTAGCCTCATCAGTACGCTTCTTGCTCTCATCCTCATCCTTATCCTTTTTAGTTGGGACACCGCCATCCTTTTCCCAAACAGGTTCGGTAAGATCTTCGATAATAAATCGCAATTTGTTTACGTTGCGACGGATCGCATCTGCCAGATCCTGCAAAGTGTTTGTTGTGTTCGGTAACAAGGGGTTGCTAGAGTCAAGCCAGGCTTCAGCCTGTCGGTAATCCAGTAACTGCTCGAACTGGTTGACCACATTCGTGGCCAAGGAAGTTGTATGCAACAACATTGACAGAAAGTCTTTGCATCCAAACGGTTTCCAGCAATCAGTCATATCAGTCCAGCACTCCGTCTTTTGGAAAGCAACTGCTTCAATCTGAGCTTGAATGAGTTGACGGAGAACGGTAGCCATGGCTTTTGTGAGATAGTTACAACCAGCAACAGTGACAGGTTCTGCTGGTATGTCAATAACAGGCCATTGAGCCTCGAAGTACCGTCCCTCTACCGTAGGTACTTTATAGTCGGACTTTTCAGCCATGACTGCTTGAAGATACCAGTATCAGCCCCCTGTGGATGATAAATAAAACTTGTAGAAGATATACTAAACTTACCGAAGTATTTTCTTCACTTAGGATAATGATCCTAAGCTTAGAAGTACGGTGTCCGGTGGTCTATGTCAATGGAAGTCAATGATTAGGTTCAATCTGCAAAAGGACTGCTGTGCATGACTTACAATAACTGAGGTAGATCAAAATTGACTTGACTTGGAGCTAGGTAGAAGAAGTTGTCGAGATCAGATTCTTGGCATTTGCATCAAATAATAGAAGGTGGCATGGCGTACCTAGTCTTTATACGACCGGGGGTAATCTTGATGTTGTGACTAGGTACTAGGTATGATCTGCTGAGCAGTTTCTCTCGGTTATTTGGGCGTCTGGATCAGCAAAGGCCTCACTTGTTCCTTCGCTTGCTAGCTCTTGCCCGGTACAATTAGCACCTGTGGCTGTCGCTTGCTCAGTATGATGATCACCTATGCTTGTCGCTTGATCCTTTATTTCACTTGACGATGGTTGCTGTGAATATAATTAGCCCCTTGTACCTAGATGATAGGAATCAGTAACATTGTTTGTGTGGTAGCCACACTGCATTTCCATTACCATCAGTCCATCCTCAAGAGGTTGTATACCTACCGAATCGGGAGAGGGGGGGGTTTGGGACAGGGACTTCCCAAACAACCTTGCATGCTCCTGCTGAGGACGGGAAGCAAGAAATGTTAAGGATATTGCTTTCAGGAGACCTATTAATTAAGTTAAAGCAGGCTGGTTTGGCCTCTCCTGCAGAGGCAGTAACCGTGTCTCAATAGCGATTAGGAAGACACAAACTGCCTTATATTCTGCTTGTGTAGGAATCCATCTCGGCCTCGATAACAGTCTTAGTTTTGCAATAAAGTTGTCAATCTTCCATTGGGACTCCAGTTTCCCAACAGATGGTGCGTTTCTGAGAACTGCTAAAAGCTTTGTTTTGTGAGCGTTACAGTGCAGATGTTGCGATATCACAGACTCAAGTGACAAATTTAGCAAACGAATAATCGGTGAGCGACAAGTAGCGAAGCCATGCTCGCTATTCTCGGATGTAATGCGTATCACAGCCGTTACTGTCAGACTTCTGCGGGATTATCATCAGGAAAGCCTAATTGGAGAGAATTGCGAGGCTTGAAGAGTGAGATACTCCCTTTCTCATTCTACCAAGAGGGCTTTCCCACTGACACAACGAGACATTCAACAACAACTATATCTAAATTGGCCATTATACTGAACGCAAGTATTGCGAAAGTATTCAGAGAATGAACTGAAACGGATTCTCTCGGGTGTGTTGAATGGACAGATCATTAACCAAGCTCCCTCACTGCTAGAACTCCTGTTGATAGAAAATCTCAATGGCCAAGAGGTTTGACAACAGGAGCAAGCATAACGAGCTTCCGTGAGTCATGTTAGCCCAATGGAAACCTGGAAAGATTGTGTTTCCATGCGCCCGTGGATAGTGATCAATCAATGATATAACTTTTCCGAAGTTTGGGTAGTTCCAGTTGTGCTAAGTGTTTCATAGGCTACAGACGCGAGGTAACAAAGTTCTGTGGCACCAATACTCACATGGAATCTGGTGTCATACCATTTAAATGGTCACACACCGCATGTGGGAAATGCATTGTCTTCCCCGAGCCGGTTTCAGCGGTAAGGCACGTGGGATAGTGTTGTAATTGATTAAGCATACCACACTGCAGAGTATCACGGCTTGTCACATCAAGGCGGGCCGTTGCCTCATTACACGACCGCACGGAGATTTACTACTTGACTGGTAGGTTGCCGCATCTCAAAGGGGATATTTTACCCTTCGGTATAACGTGGAGGAATGTGCTGGACATGGCCAACCCCTCCAAACATACATAGCAACTCCATGATTTCCAGCTCGCTTAATGATGCCATTAAAGTCTCTGATGGTTAAAAATATCCAGACTCTGCGTCAATGCCATGCCAAATTTGCCGCCACAAACTTGGCGGGACTGTTTGTGGTACCAGGTTCAACGCTTCATGCAGTCAGTACATTCTGCAGTATTCTAAGCGCCTAAATTTTTGATAGCGTGAAACTTTACTGCCGATATCGGTGAATACAGCCCGTGAGAAGATCGGATCATGATGAGTGAGACGGATCATGGCTCAGGGGGCAGGTGGAAGAGATAGCTGGCCAGTGTAAAGATTATTAGAACATCTTGAATAGCAGAAATTAGCTCCATCTTCTATGCAAGGAGCTAGTTCCCTTATAACTTCTGGAGCATACAGTAAGCGGGTTATACCAATATATTATATTGATAGCAGAAGTAAATCTGGTTAACCTTTATGTCACAAGTCAGCCCGCCAGCAAGATCTCACTGTCGTTTCTGGAGAGATAGATGATATCGACAGTCCTTTCTCGGGCGGCTTTCCATGGCTCAAGCATGCAGAGATCAACAACAGTACGACAATTTTCTGTTGATCCAGTCTCTCGCAAAAATGCCAAGGCTGAGGTTTCAACGGGAAAGCCTAGCTCATGGAGGACTGCGAGACACAATCACGCTGCTTCAGAAAATGAACTCACTGGTGTGGTCGTCGCTTATATCAGTGGTCTGGCGGTAATGGAAATTCGGAGGGAATAATCGTCACAAATATTGCCAGGATTTGCGCATCGTTTCTTGAGTTAGCATCGTGGATGTTATCATGCTAAGAGGCTAGCTGTAGGATTGCAGACCTAAATTTCTAGCTACAGCTAAATATAGAGTTATAACTTGAGAAAAGTGTAAAATAAATACCTGTCTTGTTCTTCTTTAAACCTTCATTACCTTTGAAAGTATCCCAGTAAGAAAGCTTTTGTAAGGATCATATACTCATATCGCGTAGCGTCATTTCTCAAAAGTGAGGCTTTTCACAGATCAAGAGGCCAAAGTACCGGAACTCGGCAAGTAAATGGCCGACTAGCCCCAGGAGAAGGTCTTTGTGCAGGGATTGTTTTCTTGTAACAAAACCTTTGTGCAAGTGTTCGTTCGAACTCATAGATGACAGTGGAAGCCTCGCTCGCACACTGCTCAGTTCAGCCCTCCCCAAAGGACAGAGACACTGCCCGACAGCTGATATAAAGGGGGCTTGTGAAGAATAGACACTGACTCCAGCCATCGTTTCATGGTGAATGTGCTTACTAAGTTCTGCAACTCCTAGGTAGGTAGTGAGTGTTGCCTGAGCTCCCACCTAGCCGAAGATTTGACACTGGATGAGGGTGCCAGTGGTTTTTATTAAACTTGTGAACATCACTGATTCTCAGACATCAGACCCTACATATCTATCTATTCTTTTTGACTCTCAACTCTCTTCTCTCTCTCCTTTTCCTCTTCCCCTCCCCTCACAGATCGCAGTTGTCTTGGTGTACACAAGCCTAAGCTACCTTGCCTATCCTTCTCCTTTGGTCGACGCTGATCTTCTTTGCTCAGATATAACACTCACTCACCCAGTCACTTTTGCCCGTTACATCAGCGAACTCGGCCACAATGCCGAAACCAGACACCGATGAGATGATCCAGGCTCGCTGGGGAAGCAAGCAGTGGGGCTTCTACAACTGGGAATGCGACAACGCCCGGGCGATCGAAGACACAATGAAGCCCGGTTCTGACTATAATGCTCTCAGCAAATTTATCTCTGCGGCGTGGCCTAACGAAAAGGATCATAAAGAGTATAAAGCCTGGTCTCGCGAGTGGAATGGCCGCGTTATGCGCAGAATGCTATACCAATGGTCAGCCAAAGACTTCATCGACACAGTCATCGCGACCAACTTCCTCGAGGCCGCAGTCTCTCAGCTACATGACCTTTGGTGGGCTATGGATACGTGCAACTTATCTTCGGTTCCCATCGGACATGCCAAGTTCGGAGCTGTCGAGTCCTACTACGCCTTCGAACCTGCACACAGATTCCTTGAGCCTGACTTTAAACAGTCTGGACCATCCATCTTGGGCACAGATATTCTTTCCATGACCGTAAAGTTCGGCAAAGCACGCACTCTCTCGGTCTCCAGTGGCTCTCCGGAAACCACTCACAGCGGCCCAAAGATGTCCTCCAATCTCTCAAAGCCTGAGAAGCCCAACCCCCGTCCGCGTGCTTTGACTGGCCCCGAACAGCAGCCAAACCCCGTAGAGCTAGCTCGCAATGAGATTGACCCCAATCATTTCGTCTTCGCTCAGATCGGTCTACTCTACGTCTACGGAAAGGACTATGATCATGCCAAAGGCTGCAGTATTGATGTCTTGAAGGAAGGACCATGGTGGCAAAACGGCCTGGTCGTAGTGGTTCGACTCGACAAGAAAGGCAATCAGGGAGCGGTCTATGTCATTTGGCATGCAAACAGCATCATCGAAGAAGATGAAGCAGACGATGATGACGATGATGACTATGATGACTATGATGACGGAGAGGAACTTGCACCCGAGGCCAAAGATCATGTTCCTGGACGACTTCACCCTCGTTGCAATGAAGACTTTTCACTCGCCAAGATTGCAAACAGTGTCCATGAGCTGGGGCAGTTTGACAAAGAATTCCACTTTCTTCCCATCACCAAAACCACCAGCGTGATCCATCACGCACAGTTCTTGGAGCACGATGAACAATGGATTACCATTGAGCCTGCTCTTGCTCTGCCTGTTGAGGTCAACAAATGAAGAGGGGATTGATGGAAAGATTCATGGGCTTGGGTTGCTAGGAGGATGTTGGTTGGTGGACAGATGGATGATTTGGTTTTGTTTCTTGTCCTTGCAGTAACCCACGGTAGAGTCGATGTGGTACAGACCATGATAGTAAATCCTTGTTGCCCCGGGTTTCTCGTTTTCCACGCCGCTGAATAGTGAATGACAAGTAGCTTGATGTTTCCTGTTTGTAACTGCTCTGCATCTGTAAAGCATTGAGTCTGAGAGCTCCTTTGTGATGAAGAACAATGAGCTCACCTACTAATTCTGTATCGACGTGGAAGTCTGGCGCATGAGTTGCATGAAATGGGAGTGATCAAAGTGCACTCTAGCTTCCCGCATGTAAACTAGGACAAGAGATGACATTGCGAAGATGCTCCCAGGTCACAGCCAGTGAGTAGAGAATATCTATCACCGTAGATTTTCTGTCGAACAATAGAAACGTTAGTTATTAGTTATTCGAACTCAGAGAGAACGAATATTTGCCTTTTACTACTAAATACAGCCTCATACACATCTGCACCTCTGTAAAAACCTGATCCCTAGTCGCAAACGACATCCAAAGGTGCTTATGGACTTTCGATACAAGAACCTGCTCTGACCCCGAGTGCTACCAATACCAGATCTGATAGCTTGACTGTGTGTATTCTATAGAGAAATAACTACAACAATTTTTACTTAGCCCTTGGTACTTGAAGGTGCTGAGTACTAGAAGCCCAGTCTTGATAGCTCAAATGGGTAGTCCAGGAGTGGAACAATGGATCTGTCGACAAGGACTTTATTAAGGCCAAGGTAACGCGAGCGCCGCCCTCTTACAGGACTCAACTCGCCAGTATGATCGATTTTGTATCCCGATGTTTCGATACAATATTACTTAAGTGTTGCCAGGAAATATGAAGTATTCATTGAGTTCACATTGCGGCTGTTTGTGCCTCGTACCAACTCATCTTGCCTGGACAATGAACACTCCCTCCTTTCATCCTCGACACTGACCATACACTTGCACACTCGGCGTCAAGAGATCAATGGCAATGTTCTATCCCTTCTTCTGCCACTGGCGGCTGTGGGCTATGAACCACACTGCCCGGCACAGTGGCAGCCGAACCATGGTCCAGGCATGGCCAACCAATAGACTCGTCCAGCGAACTAAGGTCAGAATGGAGGTTACTCACTGTGAATCATTGCTGAACACCTGTGACTGTTAGGATCGATTTCAGGCAAAGTGACCATTTCCTACAGCTATAAAGCTACGAGCTTCTCCCTCGACCCTAAACCTTTCATCCTCACTCTTCAACCTTTTCACACTTGACATCGCATCACAACAACTTCCCCCAACTACAACAACTCAACAACAAACACTACCCTACCTAACTCGACCATCTCTTCCATCAGAGACAATCATCATCATGAAGCTCATCGCTTTCCGTAAGTTCAACACCCTCCCCAACACCATGACCTCTCTGACCATGGCAGCCCTCTTCCTTCTTGGCCTCGTCAACGCTGGAGTTGTCCGCACTCCCGCTGAGGCTGCCACCCTCACCACCGAGGCTACTATTCCCGTCGAAGCTGCTACCCTCACCACTGAGACCACCACTCCTGTTGAGGCCGCCACTCCCCTTGCCACTCCCGATGCCTTCGTCGCCAAGGGTGAGAAGATGGCCTCTTGCAACATCCAGTGCGCCTTCTGGTACCAGAAGTGCTACTACCGCCCTTGGGGCTACACTTGTGATGACAACGGTCTCTTCCGTCGCCGTGGATGGAACCCTGACTGTGAGAAGAACTGCTGGTGCAACTGCGATTCCAAGTAATCGTGACAAGATCACTGGGGATGAATCTGAATCGGAATGATCAACGGATCTGAACGAGGGTTCATGGAGACGAAAGGAAGGTAGATTGTGATTGACTCGATGTAACCCTGTCTATGGGCTCGAGGTTGATGTTTTGTTTTGATACTCAGTCGCTCTGTTGAGCTGCAATTTTGATCAGAGGTGGCTTAGGCCTGCTAGCTAGAGAAATGTGAACTCCTTTCGTCTAAAACTTGATACCAAACTGTAAGATGTGACTTGTGACTTGTGACTGTAACTGTTGTTGTGATTTAAACGACCCAGTCTTGAAGCGAGCACTGGCGCTGAACTCCACTTATCCTAGCCAAAACGTAGCACCAACAAATAGAAGGTAGGCAAGGCCTGTAACAGAAGCTGCAAAAGAAAAGCTCTCTGGAACCGTGGTGAACTAGCATTATCGAACGTGGCCAGTGTTCACAACGGATCTTTGTTCTGGTCCATTCAACAGGGCATGAAATGACGAATCACTTGTTCAACATATATGGATCTTTATCCGATTGTTCTTGCATTTCTTTATCCAATAGTTCTTTCTATTCTAATCTTTCTCAAAGAAATTGTAGGTATCCTCTTGGTATCGGCATTGCCAAAGATCAAGTACTTTTCGTTCGACGTCACTTCTCGGCATCAGCATCGCTCTGCGAGGTACCCGGCACCGTCGTCATTGCATCTTTGAAGACTGGACCAGGATGACTGATGCACAAGAAGAATACCGCAATGACGACAAGCCTGAACACAGTCAATATAGATCAATAACAAAGATACTCGCAACTTACACTCCCTCAAGGCCAATGAACAAGCCCTCATTAGTGATGAGATCCGAATTTTGATATCCCTTGCTCAATTCGTAGCATCGGAATGCGCATCGCGCAAGAATGAGAATGACTGCGGCGCTCAAGAATCCAAAGAAGATCCTCATTCGTCTCCCCATGGCACTGGCATTCCCGCTGCGGAAGTATCGCCAGAGATAGTCGCCGAGAAGAGCGCAGAAGAGAACGAGGATGACGACTTGGAGGGACAGACCAGCTAAGGCGATGTCGATACCAGTTTGGCTGGAGCCCTGACTGACGGTTGACAGAGCGCCGCCTGCGGCTTGGAGGACGAGACAGACGACATCGGCAGGGATGAAGATCCACCAGACAAGTTCTGGTCGGAAGCGGGAGACTTCTGGTGCAAAGTATTTGATACTGTGTTGTCAGTCAAGTCATGGCCGGCTGGGATGAGGGGCCTTACGTCTTGGAAAGCGTCACGTAAATAGCAGCTGTGTAGAAGACAGGGCCACTCGTGATAAACACAATCTGGACCATGAATCCACCAAAGTTAAAGGGATTGTTGTACATAATAATCCTTCCAATGTATCCAATAATCTCAAACAGACATCCAATCATCATGAAGCTCATATAGAACCACTGCTTCCACTTGATGCCTAAGACGAGATGTGTCCCCATGGCGATGGCGTAGAGGACGATGAAGGTGATGTTCGCAGCAAGCGAAGGGCGGTATCGGTAGACGCTCCATTCTACGGGACAGAGAGCGAGAGTGCAGTTGGCGTCGGGGCCAAAGACGATCAGGTTGTCTGGCAATACCCGCGACATGATGACTGTTTTCCTAGTTGGTGTTGAGAGTGAGAAGTTGAGGTGAGGGGAGGTGAGGGGTGAAGAGAAGAGATAAGGTTAGTGGAAGTCGACCAGGAGCGGAATAGCCTTTTAGAGTCGGAGGATTGTTTTGCTTTATACATCTCACTTCAGCCATTTAACCTTGTACGTCAGCAGTCAAATCAACTCAAACTGTCTCAACGCCGCGTGTAATACCACCCTCGAATGACTGTCCATATCCATCACCACGCCAAGCTCAGCGCTTCAGCCCTGCGACAGGCGAATCCGAGCTCTCGACCAATCAGAACCCCCAAGTGCTATCGGATCCAGTAAATTGAGTCTCGGAAGCTAGAATAGCACCCCTGTAACACTAAACCCTCTAGGGGAACGCTTTCGAGCTGTCTAAGTCGTTTTTGGGAAGGCCTTTCGAGGTGGGATGGTTGGTACGTCAGTTTGATGACGGCTTGATGTTGTGTTGTGCCTGAAGGAATGCGAGTGCGAAGAAATTTTAGGTTTGATAACGGTTGTTTGGCTTGTATGAATCATCATCTTGATTGAGAATATTCTGGTAAATAGCCTCTTTGAGGTCAAAACTGGTGATGCGTGCGCGTATGACATGACCGGCCACCAACAAAATGTCCAACGCTTCTTCATGCAACGGTGAGCACGTTTTATGGTGCGTAATACGGCAGTGCTTTGTCTATCAGGACATCTACCGTAGTCATGTGCATATCTTGAGTGGATGCTATCCACAATCCCCAACTCCCATTACTCGTACATCAAAGAATCCTCATTGGCATTGGTCTCGGTCCCGAAAACAACGCTCCCCGGCCGATAATTAACAATTTACGGTTTCATGAATGTAGTATTAGCCAAGATCTTTCTTACTTTTACCATTTCCCCATATGGGGTTGTCGTCATCTGTAGACGAATTCCCATATTTTAAGCGTAATCTGTTGAAGGATCAGCCCGGTTCGAAGTTATCCCGCTTGGCACTTTTGGCCCCCGGGCTTGGTTGACAACGAGGTGTGGCGCATGTCACCTTTGAGATTTGACGCTACTTGTTATGGGTGCATAATCTCTAAAGCTTTAGCTTTCCCACTGGTATATTTTTGAGGATACTACTATAAAATATAAAAGAAAACTCGAGGGATATTCTTGTTGTATCATTCACAAATAGCCATTCTGTATTTAGCTATAGTTAGACGTTGATATCTATAACCTGCCAGTTGGCTTATTAGCATGATTCATCCAAGCTCTACCGTGTAAATCTTACAGACCCGCCTAGCAGCTTATTTGGGATCTCGTCGAGACTATAAACACACATAATTCCAGTTCAGAGTCAGAAATAAACTATCACTTTATTTCAGTTCCTATCTAGAGGTCTCTATCCTATGTCAGACGCAGGATATAAACACAAAACTAGAGTATTCACCTTTCCACGAATATCATCAACAGCCGTATCTAGACATTTTCCAGCATCTTACACACATGATTCTTTTGCCCATCAATCTCCATATGCCTCAGATGTCAATCTCATCTGGCTCACGTACAGGCGTGAGTGTAGGTCCATCGAGCTCGAAAATCCAAATCTTTGCATTGACGATCTGGGGCTCGTTAGACGGGACAATCTTAAACTCAAACTCGCGCTCGTAGGATCCCAGCTCCTGGATGCTGTCGGCTATCTTGGCAATCCAGAAAGAAGAATCGCTCTTCGGGTGAGGATGCCCGGGTTTGTAGTGCTTGAGCATGAATCCTCGCTTGTTGGTGCTCTTTTTGTTCCCTTCCTGCTTCCAGATTTCAATAAGGTCATCCTCAATCTTCTCCAGTTGAGGTACCGCGTTGGGATGTCGGAGCGCGTAGACTTTACCAGGCTCGCCTTTGGGACTGAGTCGAACGACCACTGCAAAACCATTCGGGTTCCATTCTCCCCGTTTGTCGTCATTAGGATTGCCCTGACGAGCCTTTTTCCAGTCCCCAGTAAAGGTCCAGAGCATTCCTAACTGAGCGAAGACGAAATCCTGGGGACCAGACTCGCGAGTTGCGCGGATATTTGCGTGCATTCTTTCCGTTGTAGATGGGATTGCCGCCATGAGGTGGCCTCCTTTTCTGTGGATAGCATTGAACACAGACGAGGGGCCATTGCTGAAGCCCAAGCGTACGCCCAACAGTGTCTGGAGATCGGCATTGGACGCAGCAGAGTCAGGCGAGTTCTCTCGGGTGATGTCAGAGTTATCTACCCAGGCAGAAGAGTGCGACTGACTGCTAGTGGGGCTCGGAAACGTCTGTGAAAGCTCCGTGCTTGCAGACGAGTTTGAATCACTCTCGGTGTCGAATGAGTGAACCGAAGATCCAGGAGACAGAGGAGGGGAGTGCGGAACATGAATGTTCAAGGCGAGTATCATGTTTCCTAAGACATCGGAACCAGAGTCAGGGTACGTTGGCTCGAGTAAGTCGTTCATGGGCGTGAAAGCATAACCGCTGAACACACGTCCAAAGTTTGTCTCTCCAATGGCCACAAAAGGCGTCGGGTAGTCAAGGATGTTGCGATAAAGTCTGTCGACTTTGCCCATATCCAGAAAGTTGACTTGAGAGATCATCTCAATGTAGTCCTCAGTGTTCATGACATAGTTATTTCTGGCGAACCTACGTCCGTTCCAGACGTATACCCATTCAAAGTATTTTCGTCGGTCGTCAGGGTCTGGCCATGCCTGTCTGATGAGCTTGCGAAGGGCATCCCATTCAGCATCACGACTTTGGGTGTTGAGAATATTTTCATGATTCTTCTCGCCCCAATCGTGGAACTTCCATTCTTGAGGGGACCAGCTGGCCATGATCTCCTCGTCGGTTTTGGAGACCGGCATCGCGGCTGACTGTTGTGATATGACGGACGATGTTGAGTGAGAATTGAGGGCTGGGTGTATCTGGGGAGGTGAGGTGTATTGTAGACAACTTCAAAGTTCTTATGCTTCAGTCAAAGGCGGTGCGGCTCCGTGAGAGGTAAGGTTGGCAATATGGTTCAGATTACTCTGTGTCGGCTCATGTGTAAAGACAGTTCACTCTTTTTCAGCAAAAGAATGGAGTCAAAATCTTGCAAGTGGAAGAAAGAAAGAACATAAAAGCCGAGAACCAAGTGTTGTTATGTAGGAGATGGTGATGTGAGGAAGAGAAGAGAGGATAGTTGCGGTGTTGAGGAAAGGTTAGGAATAACGTAGCAGCGAGGTGGGATGCCACTGCGAGTACAAGCCCGAGCTTTGCGTAACGCTTCCGCAAAAGTTTGGGAATGTACTTGGACCCAGAGCCTCGCCAAGGTACCTTGCCAGTGGCTCATCGCCGTCTGATCGAAACCGGTAGATGATGCACTAGAATAGGAATTGCAAGGCAGTGACAGAGACTATGATACCCCTAAGAGCAAATTATGAAGCACTCTGTTATTCCCTTTCTGTTCAAGCCTCTGCTATCATCTCTTCCATGATTGTGACTCTTTGTTGGCGCGCTGCTGTTCTAGTCCTTACAGTATGAACATGACCACAGCATATTCTCGCCGATATGTTCCCATGAACTAAAGCAGGAAGAGCTCATATAACTTTAGACCATATTAGACTAGTAGGAGTAAAGATCCACAAATTTTAGGATGAGTTTAGAGTAGACTTGTCCAAGATTAGGACCAGGCGAGCCTGAATAAGAACATGTGCATCTATCCTACTGAACAGAGATTGGTGTTTTTTACTCTTCTCTTTAATTCAGCTTCTAGTGTTCACTTACATGTCTATGCTGAGGTCGGTTGCTCAAATACTTGGCGCTGTCTTTTGATCACGGATATACCATAGCTGCACTTCGTACTGTCCCATCATCTTATGACCGTCTCAAATCACAAACGGAGAGAGACTCGCCAAAGCCATCTCAACTTCCAGACTGAGTTTTGAGTCCGCATCACTGAGTTACCTGTATATCAGCCAGTGTCAAGCTGCAGTTGCACTAAGTTCCTTTAGTTGGTAGCGGTGGTCACAGATCCAACACACTAGCCCTTGTGGACAGGTCTCACATGAAGGTGACCGAGAACATCGCCCCTACCTATTCATACATTCCGTACCTTGACTCATTCTTCAACAGTGTTCCAACGTCACCACCATCATTCTTTACAACTATCAACAACTCACAACCAATATATTATTACCACAAAATTCCACCCATGAACCACATAGATACATGGCCTTCGGCTATCTAAATCAGCGACAATATGTCCAGCGAGAAGAAACAAGGCCAGCGAAGGAGATCTCGGGCTTCAGCTAGACATTTCCTTACTGGAATAACGACACACCGGTCCTTTCAGTGATGTAGAAATAATGGTTTTGGATTATTATGAGGCTAAACTTCTAAGAACTTATGATGAGTTTAGACTAGACTTGTCCAAGATTGTGTATGGTCTGCCAAGACTCAAGGACAAGAGCAGCATACTAAGAAGTTACTACAGTGTCTGAGGCTGAGGCTGAGGATTTCAGTCTGATTGGGTAAGGTCCAATGCCTTCAGTGCATGTAATGCAGAGACTGGATGCGACTATACGCTCCGCAATCCTTCCCTTCACCCAAACGGCCATGTTCATGTAATTTCGAATCCTCCCTACCTCGCTCTTCCCTCACCTCCCTGTCCTGACCCCCCAAACCATCGGAAGCGAGAAATCAGGGATAGAGAATGTCTGCGAGACGGGCAGACCGCATTTGCAAGTCACCATCAGGGTCTGATGACTGGACTTTTGACTCAAAGTCATCTAGCGAGACCTATGGAAGGCCTTTGCACTCTCATCGTGCCTTTACTGCATGTGATAAGCTGTAGCTAAATAGTTCTTCCCCTAGCGGTGCCTGATGGCTCACCCCTGTCATTCTCTTGACACATTGGAATAATATCGCGCTCAAAGTCACGCGAGGCTACAGACCAACAACCTTGGTAGACAGAGGATTGACTGAGTACATTGTAGCGAGCATCAGATTTCTTCTTCTCGATTTCCCGCGCTTCAGGACCGTGGCAGATACGTCCTCTACCGTGTAAATTGATGGGTGAGTCCTTGTGATTTTCTGTTGACACGGTTAGCAGTTTTCTTCTGTTGGAGTGCATAACATACCCCAGAATTCAGCATTTTGCTCCCGCATCTATGACTGATGCTTCTCAGAAAACAGCTCGTATATAATAGTGGCTTCGCAACCGTGATATCAGACGCTGGGCTTCAACCGGTCTGCATATATACTGAAGGGCATGCCTATATGCTCCAACACATCCCTCAGAGCTCCATGTGACTCAAGAAGTCACCAACGCGACCAGCTGAGATTGCTTACTTGATGCTTCTAGCATTCGGATTGGAGAAATGGAATTCGCTCGAGGTCGGCAGTTTGGAGGATGTGATAGAGTACCAAGACAAAGCGTGAGCTTTTCGCACGCATCTTCAGTGGCGGGGAGGCTCAAGGGTGGGAGAGCCTGTCGAATTGATCAAGTTGGCCATAGGGGCGATCCTAGCCATGGTTGGCTATGCCCACGTATGCGTTTCTTGCTGCGAGTCGAGTTGCGAGCGTCGAACCCAATAGATAGAGTCTTTGCATCCGTAATGGCATCGCACAGCCCTAAAAACGTCACTTTTATATATAAATCAAGGCCAATCAGGCCCCCAGACTTGCGAAGAGCAATCATAGGTTGCTCCCAGACTACGAGTGTTGAAGGAGCAGCAAGGTCCAGCGTATTCTGTAAAAGGAGTGGCAGGGACTGTGATGCCTCCGAGAGAAAACAAGAGGCTGGGAGAGTTGGAGACATCTTCCTCGTTGGTGCTGTTATCGTCGCCCTCTTGTCACCCTCATCGACTTCTTCGTCCTCCCCGAACCTAAACGCAGTCCAGTCGCCGCTGACGTTGGTCGCTGAAGGCTGAAACATGATCGAATCCTCAAAGTCTGATCCTGGGTCAGACAATCTATGGAACTAGTTGACCAATATTTTAGCTCTCGTGATGAGCCTTGTAAGAGTCTCGCTGAGATACTGGAAGTAAACCAGGGGGCAAATTTCCCAAATCGATTCATGCAAGAGTTGCACGCTATGTAGTGTTTTGGAGTCGTATCGATTGGCTGCTGATTCCTTTTTATTGGGTGCACTTCGAAATACTTAGTCTGCTTCTGCTTCTGCTTCTGCTTCTCTGGGTTGCCTCGGAAGAGCCATGGATCCTCATCGCTCTCGTTGGCTTTATCACCGGAGGAGATAGAGTTATCAGATGCCTTGGCCTGGGCGCAGGCCTTGGCCTCTTGGTTTTCCTTGGCAACCTTCAGGTTATGTGCGCCATTGTGCCATTTGTTGATTACAATGGACTTGTCATTCTCGGCCTTTTATAATATATCTGAGATGGCGGCGTTATCATCTGATTATCTGGTCATATATATATTGCTTCTGTTTGAAAGGCTCTTGCCTGTGTCGTAGAATCAATAGTCTGATCAAGCAACCAGTTGGGTTGATAAGGTTGTGATAGAATGTAACCCTCATTTGTAATTGAGGCCAATAAATTCGAGAAAGGGCCAATAGGCTTTTGAAAGTACGTAAAGAGAGTGAGAAGCCAAGGGCAAAGGACAGGGATACGTTAAGATGCTAGCACTGCCTCGCAGCTAAGACTTTCCTTCCAGCAATAGCGACAGTTCTTAATGCCAGCAGAAAATGTATGTGCTCTCCTCCAGCTCTTGGGCGCGGTGCCTTGCCACATCGGCCGTAACATAGCTGAGTGGCCTGCCACACCGAGAATACTAATAAAAGCCGGTCGAAATGGCTGCCAATGCTGCGGAGATGTGGCTGAAGTTTCTACCTCCAAGCAGCGAGATGACGACAGGGATTGACACACTTAGGAGAGTAGACTGGCATGTTTTCTTTCGAGCGACTGAGCGGGAACAGGACCATGACTCGTCACGGTGTTCGAGTCTTGTGCTGCCAATAAGTCTGTGGATATCGTCGCTTTGACCTCCGGTCATGGCCTCAATGTAGCGGAGAGTGAATTGGCACCCACAGCAGTAGCTGCTGGACTGGAACAACTCTGGGTGCATGTCGAAGGCAAGCTGCTGTGATTCTTGAAATACCATAGAGCTGCAGGGCCGGCTTCAAGGGACAACAGAGTGGTCTCCGTATGCGCCAGACCTCCATAGTAGGACGCAGCTAGTTTTGCCATGTGACAATATGCTAGTACGGTGGACTACCTGTGTAATGGTATCGAAGTCACGCTAGGCTGCGGACCAACGACCTTGGTAAGCGGAGAATTGGCGAAGTCCATTGCAGTGAGAATCGGATCGTCCGGTTGCGTGTGTGGAAGCCCAGCGGATGGAGGCTTTACACCCGTAACAACAGCCGACAATCTTGATTATGCCATTCATGTCCAAGAAAGCACGACCGATGTGCTGGCTAGCTTCGCAGAGCGTCGCAGAGCGGGCTTGCCAGCCTATCCTAGGCTGGAAGTGCCAAGACGGTGACTGGGCCCGGAATTCCTTTGAGAGCAAACTGAGAAAGGGATTTTTGAACGAAGCAGGTGTCTAACCCAACTTCGTTCTTCGACGTTCCAGTTGCTCAAGACCTTTGTGGAGCCAGAGACAATCAGCTGCATATTCTGCGCCTATGTGCTCATCTCGTGCAGCCAGCTGGATTTCATGAAATTCTGGCTAGGAGCGCAGAGGCCTCTTCGTTTCCGGAGGCGGGAAAGGGATAGGATTGGTACAGTTAACCCGAGAACAAGGGAAGATAGCAAAGAGCGCGCAATCGACTCAATGGCGCGGTGCCCTTGGGATCTTCCGCGTCTGATGGGGAGTCAAACCGGGCGCTAGGGCTATCTGAACAAGATTTGCGGCCTCACCATCCAGTTCTTTGAGGACCTTATGTACGTTGACCATACTGCAGCGTCTTCAAATCTGGCGTGGAAACGAAGGCCCTGAGCGAATAGCCACGCTGATGATCACAGCCGTCTATATGCATTGTCAGCACTTCAGACCGTAGAAACTAGCCAGTCTTTGTTGGTGATATCAGACGCCGATGGCTTGTCGGGGTCAAAGTGAACTTACCGTCCACAAAACTCAGGGCAGACTGGCCGACTGTCTCAGGATTCACCGTGTTGTGCTTGGTGTTGACGGTGTGCTAAGAGACACATTCCTGGGGTTTTTAGACTGTCAGTATTATAAATTGTGAGAACGTAGCACATGCCGAGCTTTTTTCAGTAACAGGATCCTCTTACCTTTATCTATATGAGACGTGCGAAGATCCTCACATGCATATATACATATATATTGATTGAAGGAGGAGAGATGGATGAAAAAGCTTGCAGGCAAGTAGTCCAACCCAGGCGGAGGCTAGATGTTGCCCGAGATATGAATGATAACTCCGAAAGAGGAAGATTTTAAGTCTGATGAGTTGAGGGACAGTAACATTAGGAATATATCTTACTCTTGGATTGTATGTCGGGCAGAGGATTGCGTGAGTCTCTTACAGAGCTTCCGACAGACTGTCAAGGGGTGCGTCAACCATACATGACTTGTGAATGATCACATCATTCGAGGCAGTGTTCAATATGAGGCAGAACACATTGCGGTCTCCTCTGGACTCATCATTGCGCTTAGAGATGAAGGAACCAGATCGGAGGTGACCATCCCTAGGTGAGAGGCCGTGATGCAGAAAAAGTAAGAGAGTTGGAGGAAAAAGACGGGCAATTTATAGTCGACATTGCAGCCTGCTTATTCATCATTCCCCCCAAATTCTTTTCCTTCACGTAGGCGAGTTTGATAATATTGTTTGAAGTTTTCCCATTCCTGGGCAATTGTGTGTGCAATTGATATGTGCTTCTGAGTGTTGTTTTGAGTTGGTTGGGTGATGCTTGCACCGCACGCCTTCCTCGAAATTGCTCCGTTGCCAGCAACTCTCGTCAACAAAACTGCCTGCCATTTGCAAAAAATAAGCAAAGCTTTTGAAAGATTGGCGTCACAAGCAAGTTTGATTGCCTTCAATGCTCAAAGTCATCACCACTGGCTGTTTTTGTGTCGCACGGAAGGAGCAAGCGGGGAATGCTTGCGTTACTGCTGCGAAGCAAGAGATTGGGGGGAACCTGCCTCGTTGCCTTTTTAGAATGCAAATTTGTTGTCAATCATGGTAATTTTCAGCCAACAACAACATCGTCAACTTTCAGATTTCGAAGAAGCAATATGTTGCCTATTGTTTAGGGGAGTTACGAAGCCGACAAACCATTGCTCCTGTTGCAAAAGCATTTGACAAGCAACGGACCCCCCCAAGCGAGACCTCGACCGTGGAGAGTAACAATCTCTGTGTTTCTTCTGTGGGCGTGAACCTCATCCGCAGTACTAATTAAACCCCTCTATCTCGACACCACTTTGACGCTACCATTACTAGATATCAACTCAACCAACCCACACCTATAGCCATAATGAGCCTCAGCAATCCAAGCCAGAGCTTGCACGAGATTAACCTCCATTCCCCTAGCATCTAACAATATACGACGCCCACTGCCATCCAACAGATACAATGGCTTCGATAACCGATATACCCTCTATGCGTGCAGCATCTGTCAACACGCCGCTTTTGAGCGTGGAGAGCTCGTGAGGGACACGACCCTCGAGGCTGCGAAACCGGAGATGGTGGCAGCATTTGTCGCAACAGCAGTAAGCATGCCACGACCAAATATCGTCATGTGTCTAGTATCGCAGAGCCTGAAGATGGTTGGCATCGCCAACGTAAATGTTACGTCATCCCAATCGCTATTCGTTATACAGAGGTAAAGAGTTCATGCGTTCTTGCGTAGTCCCAATGGTGGTCTGGTTGTCAAACCACTTGTTAGCATCAGCAAAATGGGAAGCACTTTGAGGCCAAGCATTTCCCGCAAAGCTCATCAGCCGCATTCCATCATCTTTTGCTAATTTTACTAACTTTCTTGTCCTCGGGAAGGTGTCGCGCAGTGGGAAAGAATTGCTCTGACTCATTGCCCTTTTGCATATCAGCTGCGTTTCATCGGATACCTTTACCACCAACTGTCGCCCGATGCAAGTGGTGTTCCACGTTCATTCACAACATGTGCTGTCGATTACATGCACAAGTACTACAATCACAGCTGTCTCGACCAAGCAAACACTCACTGACATTTCCAGGCTGACAAGCAAGACGAACCAAGTCAAGTGATTGTGTAATAGGCATCAACGAAATTGTGTGGCAAGTTCATGTGTGGCGCACGCCACACAGACAGTGTGCACTATCGTCAAGTTCTAGTCGCCCATTGAATGCAGAGTTAAGGCTCACATGCAGATTCATACATACCAGAGGCGCAATTGCCGGGCACGGAACTCCTCTGGAGACACATTGTGCCTTGAGAATCCGAATCCGGACTTATTCACCTGCTTTTTGCGCCGCAGCTCACGGACGGACTCGGGCAGCTTCCTTGCCCCTTTTCACCCCGACATGTCTCGAATCGCTCAAAACGTCACAATAACAGCCAGCTGGACTTAATGACTACTGAATCAGCTTCAGATCATGAATCTCGTGCCCATTGGCGACATGTACTCACCAACAACTCGACGTCTGGCCTGCACTGCTTCTTCTTTGGACCTGATTCATCGATAAGATGTGTAGTTGATCATGCCCAGATCTCTATCCCTCAGCAACATAAATAAACACCTCCATCTTCTTACAACTTGTTCCTGTCAATCAGCCGTCCGTCATTCTCCTCAGTTCGTTTTTCAGACTCGTCCTTATGTCCAGCTCAAGCCCGGTTCACTGTAGGACTATTGAGGACGTCCCGCTGCCATATCCCGCTTCCAAGCTGATCATAACCCAACGTCTTGAAGCTTCACGAGAATCTCCTTTCTGGGCGTGGATCATTGTTGGTGCATTCTACGACAGACAAGACAACGTCCTCTGGAGCACTGAGATCTTTGCTGGTCGACTGGACATCGATTCGGACTCTGAAGACGAGTCTAGGGATACTGAGTCTGTGGCGGAGAGTTACACCGAGGAGACAGCTTCTTCAGGTAAACACTGATCCCTTGGAGATTTGCTACAGACATTCATCCCCGGAATGCTCTATATAAGGCCTTGCATTTTCCATAATCCTGACTCTCCTCAGATATCTTCTCCTCCTACCAAGAACGATCGTATCATCACAACCAAGCTTTGAACTATCAAGTACCTCCAGCACAACAAGTCTTTCCATATTGGAACCAATCTCCGCCCTACGCTATTCCACCGACTTGGGATCCAACAACCCAAGGTCAAGTTCCCGGCTTCTGGCAAGCATCTTTCGATCCAAACGTTCGTCGCTGGGTTCATACCTGGCAACCTCTCTGACTCCCCTCCCCTTCCCCCTCGCGAGCAACCACAATGTCTGGTTGGAACCCCATCAACGGTCGTGACGCTACAGGCTCACGGCCAAACTACTCGCCCATGGGTGCACCGATCCCCTCGCAGGGTCAGCCGTACGTTCCTCATCTTGGTGGTCCTGGGTATAACTTTGGTCTAGCTTCCCCCGCGTACGGCTATATGTATCCCGGCACAGCTGCATATGGCCAGCCCGTTTACGGATTCCCTCCTCAGGGACCAGTTGCTGGGTTTCAGACTCAGCAGACGTATGCGCACCAGCCCAACGGGACTGGTAACATCCTCCCTCGCCAGGTGCAGCCCATTCCGCAGATCGATCCGAAGATGCCTGCTGCTCAGATGACCAACTCGTCTGGTGGTGTTGGTTGTGAGCCCGGGTACAACTACTTCTTCCCGGCGAACCATACCAAGGTGCACGCATTCAAGAGCGATACCCCCCCTTGGCAGCTGCAGGCCAACGCGCAGATTCCCTTTATCGCCTCGCACGTTCCCACCTCGACGAAACTAGGTGATCTCTTGAAGGGATTTGGGTGCACCAATCCCTCGGCGAAGAAGAACATCTGCTTCGAGCTCTACAGTGGAGGGAATGGAAAGTGGTACAAGGGGTATTCTTTCACTGGTGATGACAAGGATGAGATCGGCAAGACCATGGACGAAGTTGGTTGGGATTCCTCCAGGACTGGAAACAAGGGAGAGAAGCCTGTTGTCTGTCTCTGGTTCTGCAAGAGCTGATTTGGCTTGATCTGTCAAATGCAGATTGGGAAAAGGATAGTTGCTGGACATTGCTTCAGTTACTGTTGTTCTTGCTGGTGAAACGTTAAGTGCCCATGCTTGAGCATTGGAGTTTATGGTTTATGTCGCTGGCTTAGTTACTAGTTACGCTGATCAATTGAGACGTAGGAATTCATCTCA